AGGGGCTGACCCCCAGGGGTTGCCCACACGCACACTGGTTTTGTGTTCTGGCCAGCAGGACCCTCCTTGTCTGCCTGGCTTCACTGCTCTGGCAGCCGAGCCGAGTGCCAGCTTTGGGTCCTCAGCACTCCTGCCTCAGCCACTGAGGTGGTGGGACCCTCTGTTTCCACCCTGCCCACAAGCAGGCCACCGACAGGGGAGGCTGACCTCAGAAACCCACCCAAGTGGGCACACAACACAGTGCATGCAGGGCACCAGATAGGGTGGTGACCAGCAGAGATCCCACCCTCTGCACGGTGACCTAGAAATGTTCTCAGAATCGCTGCTGGTTGCCCTCTAGAGAAGATGTTGGGGGTCACTGACCTCATATACTGCCTGGGAGAGCAGTGGCTGGTTCTGCTGACCCCCTGCCCAGGGTAAGCGGTGGATGGTACTGCTGACAGCCACCACCTTTTCTACTTTCAAGCCCCCGACTGCTTCATGCGCCTGCCATGCGGGGCTGAGGCGGCCGCCCTGGCCTGCTGGAGAACACTGCTTCACCCCGAGGGGGACCACTGGACGCTCATCAACGTGTACAGGGCCTATCAAGACGTGGCTCTGACAGCCGCCACAGAGCGTAAGTGAGCCCAAGCCCGTCCCCACACCCCACCCTTCCTCTCTGACCCCCAGGGCTGTCTGTGCACCTGATCATTTGCTCTAGTCACATGCAGCTCACTCCTCAGCCAGCCCACCCTGGTGATGGCTGGGGCAGACTGCCACGGCCCCCTTCCCGGCCTGTGTCCACTGTCCTCCGAGGCAGTGCTGGTGGAGTACTGGCTCAGCCCACAGGCACGTGGATGGAGTACACCCTGGCTCGGGTGGGTGGTTGGCTTGGCCGAGGCTAGGCAAGGTGATTTCTACCCCTGTGAGGCGAGAACCCCTGCCTGGGAGAGCCCTCCCACCTTCGCCCACTGTGGAAAGAGGGCGAGGGGACAGACGCGCGAGGATGGGACAGGGAGACATTGGCTGTGGAGCCAGACAGACAGCACCTGGGAAGTGAGAAGGGGGCGTCCTCTCAAGCAGCAGGTGGGGAGGCACCGTTTACACAGGCCTCCAAGTTGCCCTCTGTGGCCAGGGCAGTGCGGGTGGGGCCTTGCAGAGGTAAAACCTGGGGACTGGGGGCCACCTATGTAGTGACGTAAGGGAGGCGAGAATGTGGGCCGTGTGCAGCCCGGTGGTCCCCATCCCCAGAGGGGTCTGCTGTTGAGGCTGCCACCCTGTGCACCCAGCAGTGTTGCCCTCAGACAGGAGCCCCCGGTAAAGGTCAGAGCCTGGGAGCTAGGAGCAGGCTGACTGCTGCCCACTGGTGGTGCCGTTTCCCATTAGGTGGCCGGGAGTAGCCCAGCCAGCTGCTCCTTCCCACTCGTCCCATGAGTGATCACCGCCCTTCCTAGTGGAGGTGGGAGCTTGGGTGGCTCCTGAGGCGGCCCTCTTGGTGCCCCCAGAGGCTGTGGAGCTCTGGTGCCAGGAGCACTTCCTGCAGTGGTCGGCACTCAGGGCAGCCGACGCAATCCGCGCTGAGCTCACCGAGATCGTCCGGCGCATTGAGCTGCCCTACGCCGAGCCTGCCTTCGGCTCCCCCGAGAACACACGGAACCTCAGGAAAGCACTTCTCTCTGGCTACTTCATGCAGGTGAGCAAACCTGCCCGTCCCTGGAGGGGGGCCGTGTGCTGGGTAAAGCAGAAGGGGCGAACAGGAAGCCCCAGGACATGGACGGACACTGACAGCAGCCACAGGTCACACGCGACCACTGTGAGGACACACAGGAGGAGCTAAGTTTTGTTCTCTTGCGCGTGGGGTCGCCATGAGTCTGATAGATGCATACCGGCCGGCCCTGAGGGCAGAGTAGAACAGCCCCGTGGGACTGCCTCTTCTCTCCCTCCGAAGGCCTGGTGGGTCAAACCACCCACCTTGCAGTTAGCGGCTCAGCGTGTTACACATGCACTCCACCACCAGGGTGCCTCGTCACCGAGCAGGGAGGGTCATGGACAGTTAGTTACTCCTTTAGGCTGAGCCTAAGAGAGGGTGCTGCTTACCCCACACCAGCCCACAGACAAGCCACATCTCGTTCTCCCACGTGAAGGCTGGTTCAGAGCCATGCTAA